AAATCTAGCCGTCATCGATTAAGCGGCTGCATGTCTTTTATGGTTGTGGACGAAGTCATCGTTGATTAGCAAAAGTGAAGATCATCACAGTAACCGCTTCTCATTAATTCGACTAGAAGAATGCTTTCTGAATAAAGAATAGGTGAAATATGAATAAATGTTCAGGCGTTGAAGCGCGCTAAGAATTTCATTCACTATATTTTACGACCGGTCATCACATCGACTGCGCGGATCCCACCACTTCTTGGATTCGATTCGTTATTCCTCTCATTCATCGTCCACAAAGGTCTTCAAATGGTTCGCGTATTGTTTTGGCTGCTATCTCAGTCTCCTTTACGAATTTCATAGAACGCCGCTCTAGTTGATTCTTTTCCAATCTTAGGGATTATTGAGTTGGTGTACCTATACGTTGATTGGAGGCAAACGTTGAAAGGAAGGTGGAACCAGCGCCTTGCGTCCTAATGGTCTGCATTACTAATCACTGCGCTAAACAAGCCTGTCATCCTACTAGTTTTGGTAATTTATTACAAGACTTCTCAAGGAGTATAAAAACACTGATGTAATAAATTGGTACGCCACAGAAAGTCATCATTTAGGCCAAAAATGCATTCAATCGCCTCTACGGTGCTAAATGGAGTCGTACACATGGCGCATGGCTACGGGATGGTCCAGCGTCAAATGTTTTATCATTTAACCTTTATTAAAATTCCATCAATGATCTGATATAATAGATTTCGATCGCAACTTCAGCTTAACTGGGTTCAATGCCGATTTTTGCTCCAGTGGTCATTCCCGTTGAAGGGTAATTGCCGATGGCACGGATAGAGTAAAAATTGGCTGAGAGAAAGCGAAAACAATAGTATCGGTTGGTGTGGTGGACAGCACGTGAGCGAAAGATCATGGAGAAGCATGAGTTCGAAGCAAAATCGAGGTCCCGAGTTTTGTTCATTTTTGAGCAACCCTGTAGTTATTCGGATGTAACTTCTTCGAGCGTGTTAAAGGAGCGATGGAAAATGTTGTTCTCTCACTTAGGTCTTTCATCACATGGCTTTTTTTGGCCTAAACTTTCATAACTGCCATTTACGGACTAAATAAAAACTTGTTGACAAGATTATAGTGTTTTATCTCTAATTTTTTTATATGCGTTACATGAATCATATGATGTAAATCCTCTCTTCGACACGCCCTGTTAAGGTCCAGCGATCCTCTATTTCTCTTGCACCAATTGATAGGCTCATGTTAACCATTCGCATCTTGTGGTCGGCGCACTAGGATTGTACTCTAATGTTACCAGGGTTTTTGCCGCCTTCAATGAATACTTGAATGTTGCACTTAGTACGGCATTGTAGGTAGGTGGCACCGAATGCAGGACTGAGTTAGTCTGAGTCCTCTCAAAAAATGTTGCTCTGAAAGTTCTAGACAAATTCTTATTGATCTCATATAAGAACAAAAGAAATGCAATTCCTACAACTTATCACGTTATTACTCTTGGAAGGAAAAAAACGTTCAGCCCGTAGCACTATTGGCATTATTAAGTACTTAACTGACACCTTTAGAATTTTTTAAAATTTCAATTTAGACACTTATTTTTTGCCACTTTTCGCTAGTATCGTAGAAGCAACAATGGAAGAAAGAATCTTTTACAGTCGGCTTTCTTCAATTTGCTCAACTTTTGAAAACGTTTCTGAAGAAGGTCGCCAGCATTGCTATTCGCCTGGGTACAAGTTGACAAAGTGTTAAACACAGCTAAATCACGTTTGTTTTGTTTCAAAATGTATGCTGGACTAGATTAAATGGCTTCTCAAAAGTGCTAATTCAGATAGATCTACAATCCACTATTATCTTATTAGACATATCAACGTTGATTAGGTCAAGATAACCATGTGCTTGCAATTAAATTAACCTTTTTTTCTGCGCAGTGCTACGATTAATATCCCAGTGGGGTTTAGACTTTCTGTACATTACGTAGGGTATGAATTCCTCAACTTCTAAACATTTCCTAGGCTGTAAACTCTCATGGACTTGTTTCCCGCGTTCTTCGTCTTGATTCAAAAAAGGAGAACAACGATAAACGATAAATTACAATGTTAACTCTTTATTTTCTGCCTACTACAATTTTTCACGGCAGGGTTTTTTTTGTCGTTCGATCTGCTCTGGAGTGCAAAGCTTTGCGAATATCTCAACATCGTTGTGGTTGTATTTAGTTGCTGTTTAGTAGAAGTAGAGGAAGCGCTAGATGATGTTGCTCATAGCCTTGCTCCGCGTAAGCGAAAATGTCCTCTTCACATTCACTAGTAGTAGCTAGAGGAGGACTGCGTTCGTTATTTGGTGTCGTTAACAAAATTTATTCGTCACCCAATGGATAACTGGCAGCTGTAACGTTCGAGACACACTGTTACCACATCGAGCCGTTTCACCTGTTCCGTCCTAACAGTCGTACTGACCTAACAGTTCACCGTCTCCTATATGCTTTTTCATCGCTTATTTTACTGTTCATCAATATTATTAAAATTCTCATTTATTCTGTTTGCCTTCTCTTTTTGATTTTGTTGTTATATATATATATACATATATATATACATATATAACAATATATATATATATATATATATATACCATACTCTGTGACCAAAGTGTTTCCAGATTTTATTAACAAGGGGTGGCAGCTGCATTCTTCCCACGTGTCAGTTCTAACTCAAGATTTTCCTACTTTTCACAAAGCTTCTTAACAGTAAGACCCAATTTTTTTACTCTTTCGCTTTTTTTCGAAGGACATTTAAAACTGGAGCAAATTTTCGGATGCACGAACACAAAATTTTGCGGGTTATCGTCATCGTCTTGATGAAATCCTACCTCCTACAGTGTGCGGCTTATCGTAAGTTCAGCATTTTTCTTAAACATTACTATACTATCCTCAGTCCGCTTAAACGATGAGCGTTTCTTTGACGCGTTACATTGTCCCAGATTTTCAAAAAGAACACCCACACGACCAACGTAAACTTCCATGTGCCCATTTCTAGACAGATATAGATGCTGTATTTGTGAAGCAATCTGACGTACTTCCCATCATCATCGGTTCTTCTGGAAGATAATAACTTCGAATAGTATGGTAAACATAGCGAACCATTTCACTAGTAAATAAGAATGAAGTTTTATTGGATGGAGAAATCTTTCGCAGTGCATGTTATAAGAGATAGAATTTTATGACTTTGAAGCGTAGTGTAGCGCGGTGCTTATAGGTGTCCTGCTATGCAAAAAAGTACTAGTTCGATCTCGCTACCTAGGCAAATCAAACCATGTGTCACCACTGGGCTAGGAAATCGCTACCAAATCTGTTTTGAAGAATAAACTTGTTTTAATTGGATCTTGCATAGTTGTGGATAAACTTGTTGGATAGGAAAGCCACCATAGATCCGTAGATTCTGTGATAGCACTGGTCATCCTAGGGGCCAGAAATGCATTCAATCAAATCTCCAGATGCTTAGTGAAGTTGAATGCTATCCAGATCACCTGGAGATTGATCAGTATTGGACGCTTTACCCTCCCATCATTGTTTATTTATTACAGCCCATTCTTCTGGTTTGTTGGAATTTTGACAGCACTGATAATTTTCAAGAAGCAATCTACTTATACAGATTCCAGTTGTTTTTGCCTAGATTAGTAGGACTTCTTATCAGCCACGATGCTTGAATAAACTTGGAAGACTAAATTATTCTCTGTCACGTATGAAATATATGTAGGTCATATCACCAAAGTTTTCGAATAGATTTTTTATTTTTGTTTTTTATTTTATATGACCCGGTGTAACATCTACTGTGCGGTCCGGCACTTCTTACATTCGATTCGTTTCCTCGCATCAACTGACCGCAATGATTTCCCAAATTTTACTTGTTGCTTCAGTTCGTGCTTGAAGATTTTCATTTCATCTTGAATGTCGTAGAATGCTAGTCGAGCAATTCTTCCTGAGATAGCCGGTCTGGAGCGTTCCCAATTGCAGAGTGATTTTTTTTAGACAAGTCCGGTACCAATCTCCTGACCCCGGAGGGATGAGAGGCTTGGTTGGCTTGGAGCGGAATCGAGCTAGCACCATGGTCGTGATGAAGAACGTCATCACCACTATGATATCCTCCTGTTTTCAAATAAATACTATTAAGAACGAAATATGTTTACTTTTATGAAATGCTGAGATATTTGCAAAACTCCGTACCGCAGGTGTATGCAGTGGGGAACGAACACGCGCTGTTGTCCTTACCGGAGAGCAGCGCACTTCACCACCACACCATCCAGGTCCTTCGTTTTGCCTGTCTCTCAGCTAGTTCTATCGATCTTTTTGCCATCAGCAATCACCCGTCAACAGGATTGATCAATAGAACTAGCTGAGAGATAGGCAAGACGAAGAACCTGCATGGTGTGGCGGTGAACGCTTTACTCCCCGGAAAGGACAATAACGCGCTCCCCACTGCAGACACCTGCGTTCCGGAGTTTTGCAAATATCTCAGCATTTCATACGAGTTATATTTCGCAACATACGCTGCCATTAAGAAGAAAAAGGCAGTAAGTAAAAAAGGTTAAGATTATGCTTACTTTCTCAATGTGGGAAATGGGTTTGAAGGAAGTGTGGGCGTTACTGCGATTTGCTACTGCAGGATAATTGCGGAATAATCTTAATGAGTACGGTAAGATATAAGCAAAAGTATTGCTGCTGTTTAGAAACCTCACTTGGAACAAGAAGAAATATGTGAAATTTAATATAACAGAGTGCTTAGTGTTTTGACAAACACGTGAGTTATCAAGAAAAATCTCATATTTTTCATACATTCTCAGGGTTTCCAACCGACGCCTCCGACCGGGTTAAAGAAGCGGAGTACTATTTAATTCAGGTTACTATAGAACTCAGAAATTTGGAATTGTCTCGTGAACTTGCAAAATTGTTCTGCCTCCAGAAAAAATCTTTCGATTTGGAAGTACCAAAAGCCGAACATGTCTGCCAAGTTACAATCATGAAGAGGCACCGACCTCAGTTCGGTCACAGTGAGTTCTGCTTTCATGTGATTTCTTGATTCATAGTGCTTATTTTCACGTCCACATCTTAGCAAAGAAATGTGAAACATCCAAAAAATAGCATAAAAGAACGACTTTCTATAAATTTCAATACTACCAACTGTCATTGTTAAGTTGATGCCAGTGAAGTTGTCGTTGTTGCTATTGTTACTGTTGTTCGATTGCTAACGTTTCGGCGGGCGACTTGGCTTTCTTCAGAGCGGTGCTGTCCGGTGTGTGAGCGGACGAGAGTGATATATATATATATATATATATATATACGATTAAGAAATATTCCATCAGATGCATTTTCTTTGCTATTTCCGTTTTTTTGCGCGAGCTTGATCTAGTGGGTCGGACGCTAGATAGCAAACTGTGAGTCAGACTGTCAGGGCGATCCAAAAAAGGCTGAATATGGCCTAAGAATCCTGTTCACAGAAGTTTGTACCACATTTAGAGAAGTCTCCTTCTTTTTATAAACGTATTTATTCAAATCTGGATTTACAGTGGCTAATGGAAGCTTCGTCGAAGTACAACAGGATACGGAACACAATTTCGAAGCCACGTTCGTCGAATGCACCGACGGTCACCATCGACCACCGTGTCATGGAATTGACACAGTTATGTGCGTGTTTTGATATAATCCGCACAACATCTTTATTGTTTCGAAAAATGGTATTCAGCTATTCATCAGAATGTGTGACTATGTACGAATGGCGGAGAGCGTTTGTTCGACTGCCCGGTTCGAACGTCAATTTCATCGCCTCGTTAATCAAGGCATGTCGGAGATTCCGGACATTTTTCCAGAGAACTGTATCTAATAATCATTAAACACTATTCTAAATTATATATATATATGTTCTTACGGAATGCCCTTGTTTAGCTTACGCGAAGTTGGTGTAGCAGTTCTTATTGCTACTGTTGTTGTTGTTGTTGGATGCTGGATGATGAATGAGCACTCTCGTACACAGTATACGGGTGGTCTAGCAGTACGGCAGTACGGCTTTGAGGGGGGGGGGGGGGGGGGNGGGGGGGGGGGGAGGGGGGGGGGGGGGGGGGGGGGGGGGGGGGGGGGGGGGGGGGGGGGGGGGGGGGGAAAGTCGCCGAGACGACAGTCTTCGAACAACAACAACAATAACTATCGTAATAATTATTACTATCAATTTATAACTTTGTTCCCCAAAAGAAGGTTATCGAAATAGCAGAACATTCGTGCAGCGGTGAAGACAACAAAATTTTTCACCACACCGCAAATTTTAAAAGACCTTGGAAGTTTTTTGTACTTACCTTCATTACATTTCTTTTCCTTGTTTACTAGCTTACATAACTCATCATCAAATGTACCGTGCGGATATCAGCGCTTCTTGCATTCCGCTCGTTTTCCTTGCGCTCATCATCGACAAAGGTCTTCGCAGATTTCGGGTATTGTTTTGAGTGCTCCATGAGGATTGTTGTCTTCTTTATGAATGTCACAGAATGCTATTTGAGTCGACTTTCCTTGCAATCATGGAGACAGCCGAGCGTTCCCTTGTGGACTGGAGGAGAACAATCATATAGAGCCGAAGCAGAACTTTGATTCCTGATGGACTGCACCACCAGCCAATGCGCAATTCTCCATTTCTTTTCAATAAACAAAAACGCTCTTCATCAACGACCTCACCCTTTTACAAGTCGATGTCGTGCAAGGGTTTTAGGAGAGTATAAAAAATTCTAGTCTGCAATAAGTAGTGATGAGCAATCATCTTGTTCAAGTAGAATTGAAGACCTTGCATTCACTTAATCACACTCTAGGATTATCGATTCGCTAGAAGAAGGTGGGTGTAAATTCTCTCTCTCTTTCCTTCCACCTAACTTTCGCTCTTCACTTTCGAACGGATATCTTTTCATGAGTCACGCAATCCGAAATTCTCGAATCTCATTCCGACTGCCAACTGACTCCGTTTGATACGGACATTTTTTTCAAGTTCACTCCTATGGGCGGAAAAGTGTGAGTTAATCTCTTTATGTGATACCTAATTTGTACCATACCTTGTATATAATGCGTGCTTACACTTTTGTCTTTATGAAGGGTGTGAATGGTGCTACACATTCACACAAAGCGTCACGCTAGATCTTCACCCTTTCGTTTTGGGGTTTTTTTGCCGTTGTCTGAAGAGATAAGCGAGCTTACATTGATTTCGGCTGCACCGTAGATTTTTCTATCCTCAACACATTGAAGCTGGTCAAGTGCGACTTTCTTTGGAAATCTTGCATTTTTTTTGTATTTTTTATACCTCCAGTCTTCACGTCCACTGTGCGGATCGCAGCACTTACATTAGTTTCCTCGCATCTATAATCCACGATGGTCGTTCTACTTTTAGGTGTCGCTTCGGTTGCTGCTTGAAAATTTTCATTTATTCTCTTATGTCTTAAAGTGCTTGTCGATCAGTTTGTGCTGATATCCTGAGGAAACCGAGTTAGAGCGTTCGCAACTGGATTGGGGAAAGTGATTTTTTTCCTGACAGTCCGGCACCAATTTTCCGAGGGATGGGGGACTGGTAAGCCTGAGGTGGGGAAGAAGCAGTACCGTGCTCTTGATGACTGGTATCACTACCACTGTACTATATGGCCTACTATGCCCTCGAGCGCTCCTAGGTTCTAGGCACTGTGTGGCCATTATGAGTCGTAGGGAGGTTTGCTCTATGAAGATCTAATAAACTGAGGCTCGTAGTCATAAGTCTGATGGATAATTATGGAAATACAACATGAGAAAAAAGTTCGATACCATTCAGGAATCAGACTGATGTAGGAATTCGTTCCCGTTTCAATTAAAGCAGAAATGTCGTTACGATTATTCAGAGATTTCATTGGTTTACATCTACGTGCAGCGGTGATGACACCTTTAGTGACTTCCTTCGTACGCCTTCTGATCATTTCTATCCCGTTGGAGTTCACGACAGATCGCGCTGTTCTCCTCATTTCTTCGGCGTCTGTTAAATAGTCATGCACTTTTACACTGTCCACTTTTTCTGTTACAAATTACATCATCTATTTCTAGGCTAATGAGATTTCTTATACCTGATGGAAGGAAATCGAGCATTAGACAAATTGAATGTGGCGAATTATTTCAACTTCATTAACGTAAGCATCATTGAACATCATATTGACGACAGTTCGCATTCCTCAGTTTTCTTCCTTGAATTGGACAAATTCTAAATGGGTACAAAGTTGACAGCATGAATGCTGAAGGCAATTAGATGACCCCGTATGTCTTGGCTTGATCTTGGCGCGGGATTCAACCCAATATTAAATATGGATTGCAAAACACTCCTAACCGCTGCTATACCCCACGTCCAAGGAGGTTATAGTATTAGTATAATATTGTAATAATTTGTGTGTATGTGAGGATGAATAAACTTCGTGGTTGGGAGGTGTTCCTAGGAATTGATCGGTTACATACGTAAGTGCTTCTTTCCGCCAAAGGAATGGAAATAGAAGACATTATGGTGAAAAGCCTTATGTTTTTATGTTATAGAAAAACATTGTGGTCTTATTGTCTCAGGGCCGAATATGCTGAGCACTTCTGGCTGGCTGCGTGAACATATGAAGGCTGTAGCGTTGAAAGTGCTCGACGATTGACAGGACTAGATATCAGTAAATAAAGCAATGCAACAATGCCCTTATGAGTCGTATGTGTGTAATGAGGGATAAAAAGATGAAATGTTCGGCATTGATCCATCCCATAGCGATGCGCCACGCATTTTCGCCTCCATAGAGTTGAATAAAATTGGGTTGGGTTAATTAATTTGGGTTGAATATATTTTTGTATACATAGTTACACTGCTACACAGATGAAACAAGTCAGTATTTATTATCGCAAACAAGTGTGCTGTTGATTTACCAGCCTCAGAGTGATTAGAGCTTGACCACCTCGGAGTGTGAATAGAGCCAATAAGAAGTTCTACAGTGTTATGATAGCTAGAATGCTAGAATCTTGCTATTTCAGCGTCCTACTAAATATTTACTTTAAAAAGTAAACGGAACAATACAGATGGCTAAATATGTAGACCAGTAATTCGAGCCGTTCTTGTATGTTTCTTTGAGTTTTCAGAATTTTCTCGAGGTATTTTATGACTGCTTGTTTGCTTTCAGATTCCGATCGCGTGTCAGTGTCGATTGACTAGGAAGCTGCAGCCAATCGCTAGGCGGTTCATCAAGTATGTCGCTCAGTAGACGGACACCATGACACCCTCAGCGGACATTTCGCAGTTACCCATCTGCTGTTGACAGTTGAGTGGCAGAATCAGGTTTCACCACCCTTGTGTAAATATTGGAGATGTTCTGAAATCTCAGTGTTAAAAATTCTGCTGTCTCTAAATTGGGACTATTTTTCCTCACATAATATAATCAAAATATCAAGACAAGAAAATTGCGAGACGTCCATATTTTTCTTTTTTAAATCCTTCGTCAGTTGTTTCACTATCAAGGTTACACTAATCGTTGCCTACGTATTATAAGAAAAAATTCAAGACGAAGCGTTAGATACACTTGAGATTTCAATGAACTTCGTGAGTCTTTGGGCACAGGATGCTTAACTGTACGCATTGGCATTGTAACTTTAAGAAATATTGAAAGGATAAAGAATAAAGCTTTAGGCGTTCATCAATCCCTGATGAATTCATCGTGCATCGTACTCATCAGGTATTGTACGAGTGACTGAATTCATACTTGACCTGTACAATAAAATCCAATGACCTAGCGAGGTATAAAGTTTATGCTTTGTCCTCCTAGACAAGCTTGGCAAAAACTTGCCCACCCCGGAAGGATGGACGGCTTAGTGACTAGGGAGCGAGATCGAACCAGCGGCAGGATCCTGTGCTTATTACACGGCACTTTTGACCACTATTCCGCACGCACCCCCAAGAAATACTGCAGTGAAAAATTCAAAGCGTTTCCCTCATAACACGTAAATTTGCTGACGATCTCGTACTGTTCAGCACTTTAAGTTTCATTCGGTTCTGCTAATTCTTGTCAAAGGATCACAGACGGTTAGTTGTAAGGTCATGTGGGTGGCGAATAATAAGAAAGCCGAGAGCAAAAGGAACGCAGCCGTGTACCTCTGGGGCGAGGATCAATTTGCTGGATCGAATTTAAATGTTTCCGCAATAACGGTTGACAGTTACATTTCACAGAAACACAGCACATAGTGGAGAATTTCGGATCACATCTGGAAAATGAGTAGAAATCCGAAACTGAAAATGTTCCACAACACGAGGTTCCAAACCGTGGGAAGAAGACACTCTGTCGTAACTTTATAGCATCCGGCATCACCTTTGAGAATAAAGTTTATATAATCTTAACCCTTTTATTTACTGCCTTTTCCTTTTTAATGGCAGGGTATGTTGGAAAATATAACTCACATATAATGCTAAGATATTTGCAAAACTCCGGACTGCATGTGTATGCGGTAAGGAACAAACGCGCGCTATTGTCCTTTCCGGGGAGTAGCGCACTTCACCACCACACCATCCGGTTCCATCGTTTCGCCTGTCTCTCAGCTAGTTCTATTGATCTTTTGCCATATCTCAGCATTATATACGAGTTATATTTAGCAACATACCCTGCCATTAAAAAGAAAAAGGCAGTAAATAAAAGGGTTAAGATTGTGATCATAACTAAGCCTCAGCTTAACTGGGTCCAATGCCGATTTGGGCTCCCCAGATCAATCTTGTTGACGGGTGATTGCTGATGGCAAATGGTCGATAGAACTAGTTGAGAGACAAGCAAAACGAAGGAACCGGATGGTGTGGTGGTGAAGTGCGCTACTCCCCAGCAAGGACAATAGCGCACGTTCGTTCCCCACCGCATACACCTGCGGTCCGGAGTTTTGCAAATATCTCAGCGCTGTATAAAAGTTTATATATTTAACCCATTAGCCATCGTGTTGATTGTTTTAAAATGGACTATGATTTTTCAACTACTATAGATATGGAGGAGTTGGAAACTTCTTGGAGCCAACGAAAGACTTGGCTCTACCGGGTTAAGGGCATGTTAGTAGTAAATATGTTGGTGTTTACTACATTTTACTCTAGTTTGCTATCAAATCACAGTGCTGTCACCATTTGAAACTGTTGGGTAACTCGTTGGGTCTATTTCGATATTTCTTATACTTGCTCATCTCACACGTTTGTCATAACCCATCAGAACAACTAAAAATAGGTAGACAACGAATATGAGTAAGGATGAAGAATTGGTGAAAAATTGAAATTTGCATGCATCACATAATGGTTGATGGTGGTTTTTACACAAATGCCTGCATTTTTTAAATAACTAGAGGAATTAGGAGTTGGGCATTTCACACTTCTACAGAAGTGCCGGCTTCTGTAGCTGTAAGAGCGCTTCTTCCTTCTACATCTTCCCTGTGAGCGTCGTCTATGGGGGTGGTAAAGATCTATTGAGTATGTGGATGAAACTGAGCGATATTTGAATTTTCTCGTTGAAATGCTTAGTACTAGTTGAGAATGATTTTACCAGAATCCCGCTAGAGATTTTATTGGGCATTCCAAGGCATTCACCACAGGCAAACACCACCATCAT